AGTTTTGGCCATTAAACCAGTTCCATATAAAAGTAAAAGTAAGATATGTTAAATAAAGGAAAGAAAAACAATTTATTGTTAATTTTGAGAGGAAAACAACAACAACAATAACAACAACAATAACAACAACATCAATAACATCCAACATACAACATCCAAAAGAGTTAACGATTATATTTACCAAATAATTGCTAAAATATTTTCAATGACCAATAACGCGACAACGCGTACGTCGAATGATCAATTGCTGCTACTAACATTTAAAAAAAAATACCAAACGATAAAAATAAGTAAATGAAAGCAATTGTAAAAAATTTTCATCATAAACTTTATTTAAAATTAAAAGTTAGCTCATGTGAAACATTTAGCTTTCAAAAGTGTTTCATCCATGTATTTATTATTTTCGTTTAAATCATATTCGAAGTAGGTTTTTTTTTTTTTACTGCTACCTATCTAAGTTATCGGTTTAGTATTTCGTAAGACTTAATTATAGATCATTTATGAAGCATTCAAAACGGAGAGACGATCTCACCTGGTATCCTCATTTGCAATAGGAAGAAATCCCTTCTCTTAAAACAAAAGTAAACAAAAAGCAAATTATTTCCTTTATTGATACCGTTGCTGCTGTAGCTGTACTTGTGACCCGGTTTTCTTGTTCTTGTTTGGTTTGTTTTTTTTGGTGGTCACTGCTCGGATATTAACTTAGCTCCTTATGTTTGAGCTTATTAATTTGATCACATCAATATCAATCGTGTCAATCATTGCTTGACACATAATCATTGATCTTCATTCCCAGTCTCTACTAAAAGTTATAAGTCTTCACTTTAAGATCACTACGTTCAGATCAAGTCGTTAATTCCCTGGTTCAATTACCCATTGCAAAATTATTGATCTTCGTTCCAAGATAACGTCATTAATCTTCTACTAAAAAAAATTACAAGCCTTTATTACAAGGTCGTTATTGATTATCGAATTGATTACTTGAAATTGCTAATCTTAGTTCCAAGATCATGTCATTCATTCTTTATTAAAGAATTATAGACCTTTACTACAAGGTCGTTACAAGAACTGCTTATTCGAAACTACTGCTCTTCACTCCAAGATCATGTCATTCCCTCGCTTTTAAAGAATGATTGGCCGCTACATTAAGACTATGACAAGAGTTGCTTGTTCGACACCACTCATGTTGGTTTCAAGATTACTTTACGTTACTGTTTCTTTGAAAGTTTATTCGAAACTACTGATCTCAGTTCCAAGATCATGTTGTTCGTTTACTATTAAAGAATTATTGGCCGCTACATTAAGACGATGACAAGAGTTGCTTGTTCGACACCACTAATGTTCGTTCCAAGATTGAACCATTAATTTTCTCTTAAAAAATTATTGGCCTCTACATTGAGACCATGGTAAGAGCTGCTTGTTCGAAAGCCTTAACCTTGTTTCCAAGATTAAGTCATTAATTTGCTACTAAAAAAGGATTAATTTTATTTCAGGATCGTAGCAAGAATTGCTTACGCGAAACTGTTAGTCTTAGCTCCAAGATCATGCCATTCATTCGCTATTAAAGAATTATCGGTCTTTGCTACAAGGTCGTTACAAGCAATGCTTATTCGAATCTGTTAATCTTAGCTCCAATATCATGTCATTCATTCGCTAGTAAAGAATTATTGACCTTTACTTTAGGATCATGACAAGAGCGGCTTATGCGCAACTGCTGATCATCTGTCCAAGATTACATTATTAATTTCCTATTAAAAGATTATTTTTTATATTCAGAGCCAATAAGCGCTTGGTGGCGTTACTTGGAATCCTTTTGCTCCCCGTTTCAAAACTAGTTCATTAGTTCCTTATTAGAAACCGGTCTTCGCATTACCAACTCTGTACTGCAGAAGCGTTGATCTTTGTATACTTCAAACACTCGAATGAAGTTTAATCGATCTTCACACGCGAGGCTATAGATAAACTTGATCGATCTCTTCTAAATAAGATCGCGATTCGTAATGATTCGAAAATAATTTTTTCTTTTCTCTTGACAAAGTCATGTCACTAACAATTGATCTACTTTGACAAGACCTTAATTCGATTCGTATATGACCAAGATCTTTCATTGCTTCCTTTCGCTTCAATGTGACAGCGATTATGGCATTGTAACTATTTTTGTTGTTAATTGTTATTGACTGTCATTGCTGCTCCCTTAATTATTAATTCGGTATTGATCGGTTAGCCGTTACTGTGTACATTGTTGTCGCTGCATGTTGTTTGTTGTTAACTGTCATTTTACTTATATATCATAAGCTGCTTTTTTCACTGCTTCTCTACCAGCAATCTACTCTACTCTACTAACATAAGATGAAAATGAGCAAACGATGTTGTCTGCTATTTGATGCTATTTGAATAAGCGCTCATGATCGCTGACATTTCAGACTAAACTTGGATGACTGTTTTAAAAGGTCAAGCACGTTCTTTAGAGCTCATTAACAATTTTCTCCTCAGTAAAAATTTTTAACTACTCCTCCCTCGCCCACATAAGCTTTTCTTTTCATTTCTTAATATAGTTTGTGAAAATAGTGTGTAAACAAAATGAATCGAAATGATGTCATTGGCTTATATTGTATTGAAGGTTTAATCTTTTTGGTTTTCTGCATAAAATTAAAAAAAAAAAAAAAAAAAAAGCAAAGAATTCTTGGAATTTGTTTATATTTTCTCTTTCAACCAATCTTAAGTTTACAAAACAAACAAAGCTCGTAATTTTTTATTTATTTATTTCTTCTCCTATTCTCCTTTGCTTCTCGCTTTTGTTTTTGCATATAAGCGATGCGATTCAAACATTAAACCGATATTCTAGCAAAACAGTCAAATATTTTGTAGTGCTTTCCGTTCTTATTCTTTGACGGTTACATGCTTCAGTTCTTTCCTCTCCATAAAAAAATAAATGGTTTTCTTTATTATATTTGAGGTTTTCTTTACGATTAGGTTACAGTCGGCCGTGTTACGAAACAAACTGTAGGTGTTTCCAACTTTTGTGCATGATTGTATATATATATATATATATATATATATATGTGTATCTGTGCAAATGGATATATATGCATGTGTAAAGATAGATTGATATACATATATATATATATATGTATAGCAAGCATCCGTGCATGTGTATGCATTAGTTGACCATTTCCATATTGTTTCTCTTTTAGTTCTTATTGTTTTTATTCAAGTTCGTCAAAGAGTTTTTGTGTTTTTTTTTTTTTGACAGCATCGTCAACAAACAGACATTTCATGATGGATGTCTAAATCGAACTCGACATTCATACCAAAACATAGGATAAATTTTTATACCCATCACCTAAGCAAAAAGTTCTACTTACTTAGTTTCTTTACTACATTTCCAATGGGCGCAGATTGCGACTCTTAACGAAAGTGGACAGAAATGAGCGAGTTGCGATCTAAAGATATTAAGCAGCACGAAAATAATAAATAGATTGAAAGTAACATGCAAAATAGTAGGCATGGCAAGCGCAGTCGGGGTATTAAACGGAGTAAGAGTATTTGATAGAGCAAAAGTATTATGCAGACTGGGAGGTTTTGAACAGAGCAGCAGTCGTAAGCACAGTGTGATTGTGTTAAGCAGAAACAAAATATTAAGAAGAGAAATGATATTGGGGAGTGTGAAGATATTGAGAAAAGTAAGAATAATAAGCAGAATGAGGATATAAAACAGAGTGAAAATATTAAGCAGAGAGAGGACAGCGAACAGAGCAAGGATGATAGACACAAT